TTGCATGACAAGCGTGACACATAAATTCAAAGATGAATCGACCTCCGAATTACCAAGAGATGGGTTTTTTTTCCTCTCTTTTCATATCTATAAAAACCTTCTAAGAATTACTAAAATGTCCAGATCCATCAATGATTCCTTTGCCGGCGGAAGTCAAAGAATGTTTACAAAAGTCAATTCGATTGACACGCTACACACCGTTTAACCAAATGATCTGTTGTATAAGCGTCTCATCTTACGTGCTAACAAGGAGATTAGCTGTTCATTTAAATCGTTCGTTTGTAGGACTTTTGGGTATAGTTATCGAGAAGACCGACTTTGCATATTTCAGGTCGTTCTCTTGCGTAGTTGTAAAAAAGACATTTTAAGTTACCTACGGAGATCCAGAAACTGAAGTTAACCTTATTTTTTCGCGAGCCGCATCTTCGAGACGCCAAAAGCTATCGATGATTTTACAATTTGCCCTACTCATAGATCAAATCTCGGTACCGGTGTTGGGTGAATTCGTGGTTTCATTAGTAGTTGTAGAGTGCCAAAAAAAGTGTACGAGCATGGTAAAGGTAGGGTTAAGTCGATTCCAAATGCCTATTGGGATATTGGCAAGCGTGTACCACTGATAGTACGAAAGACGTCTGGAAAATTCATATAACCTGGCTACTTATCACCTTGTGCAAAATTACGCGTCCCATCAGACTTAGGCCTCGATCGGGAGTTGGTAAATAGGCTACCAAAAATCTAGACAGAGGTGGATTTTTCTATACTAATGTCTGAGCACTTTGTAGGCTTCCTGCCGTCTGGCGGGACTAGTAATTAAGCACACAGTGGTAAAGGGCCCTTCCGCAGTAGCTACAAGACGCTGACAAAACTTTTTTCTCTTCACCGAAAATCACATCAAAATTTTTCCTTGCTTAATTTCAAGTGCACGTATCACGTGCACGTATCAGCACCCCCCGGGGAACCCCTATACACAAGAGAGCGAGGATGCGCGCCAGGAGTTTCGAAAACGACTCCTATCAAATTCTCAAAGGTACCTGACTCATCCGTGTGTGAGTGGCAACAACTGATATCTACCCCTAAAAAGTACCAATTTAAACACAAAAAAATTGAAAAATCTCAAAAATAAGAACTCCTTTATCGATGTGCTCCAGAGGCTCAAATCAGATCATTAAAATCGTCCTAGTAATGCTTATTTCAAGCATTTTATTGAGCGAAAAACACCCTAAAGGGTACCAGCTTGGTATCTGGTAGTCCACTAAAGTTTGAGACACCGTAAAAGGTACCAGATCACTG